TCAGCAAATGCTTAGATGTTTTAGGAGTAGCTGTCTCCCTTCAGAGGCTGGGGGCATCACCCAGGGCAAAGCCAAGCCTCTGCCTACTGAAGCTGCATTCTCGTGAGAGACACAAAGTGGCCACTTCACAGTCCAGTCCAGGAGGATGTGTCTTAGGAAGAGGAACCACCAGCAATAGGGAGGGAAACTGTCACATGCTCATGAGTCAGCTGTGGGGGGTGGTCAGGGAAGGCTCTCGGAGGAGGTCTAACCTGGGCAGACACCAGAATGAAGGAAAGAATGAATTGTGTGATATCTGCCACAGAATCAAAGGAAACAGCAAGTGCAAAGGCCCTGTGGTAGTAAGACATGGCTACAGCAGAGGTTGGAGGAATGACAGGGATTGAGATCATGAGGCTTTGCCAAGCACCATTTGGCCATAGGGTTTTTGTCTGCCTGGCAGGATAGACCCTCACATCGTTGGAAGGCTCCTACCATTCTTCATGAATATCACTTTCTCCCTATTCCTATCATCTATTCCTCCTGAGGCAGAACATGCTGTCTATCCAGAATCCTTTATCCCTAGTTCATCTTCTCTGGTTAATTCCTATGTATCCTTCACAGCTCGGCTCAAATTTTAGACTTCCAAGATCTGCTGGTCAGGTCAGCAGTCCCTCCTTCCAGCAAAGACACAGAATTTCTCATCCCCCATCCTCCTCCTCTTCCTCCTTTCCCCCTCCCTCCGTCCCCTCTATGAAGCCCTCAGGGATGGGGAGATCACTGCCATACATACACATACCACACCCAAGCCCAGGACATGTGGCAAGGCACAATAGCAGAGTGGCTAACTGATCTTCATTTTCCATGTGCGTGAATCTGGGCCCCAGGGGGGCCTGGGGTTCCCAGGAAAACGGAGAGGGGTGGGCTCCGCTGCAAGGTTTGCCTGTTAGAGCACCATGGGCAGGAGCCTTCTGTCTGGCTACCACAGCCCCAGCTCCAGCACCCGCACAATGTTGGTGCTCATGATGCTTGTCTTACGAGGCACTCTCGAGATGCTGTTCATCAAAATGGCTCCACATGAAAGAGGGAAGGAGGCAGGCTTGTTCAGAAGCGCTTGAAGGGCTTCCAGAAGGAAACTGGAGCCTAGAAGCTCACTGCTGTGTGTAATAGCACCCTGGGGAAATCAAAGGTGTCAGGGAATCAAGAGAATTAGGGGCAGCTGAGGAGGCACCTGAGCAAATATGAAAGGAGAGCGAGCAGGAACAGGGGAAAAGCCAAGAGCTGCTTGAGACAGGAAAGGAACCCAAATATACACACGTGACATGGCTTAGCAGGAAGCAGCATTTCCACAGCCACAAGACGAGCAATGCACATTTCAGGAAAACAAAAACAAAAACTGAACTGCATATCGATTGTAGAAGGGGGTGAGTGAAAGCTAAGTCCTCCTCCATAAAAAGTGTCTGTAATCCTAGCTACTAAGAAGGCTGATTTCTGAGAATCACGGTTCAAAGCCAGCCCCGGCAGAAAAGTCTGTGAGATTCTTATCTCCAATAAACCACCAGAAAACCAGAAGTGGCTCAAACCGGTAGAGTGCTAGCCTTGAGCATAAGAGCTCAGGAACAGCACCCAGGACCTGAGTTCAAGGCCCGGGATGGACCCAAGAAAAAGGCATTTGGCCACATGACAGGCTTGAACCCTACTGACAACTCAACAACCAAAGTCTTCCACTCTTTCCTTCCAAAGAGGCAAAGACTGTCATGTGATTCCCACCCAGGGGGTCCGGAGGGCAGCCACTGCAAACAGAGCCCGTCTGTCGCTGCCTACACCTTATGAGCACCAGGGAAAGCAAGCTACTTGGAAATCTGGCGGCAGACAACACTGAAAAAGTTGGAAGTGGTCTCCTTGGGGGAGTGAGGCTGGGAGGGCCAGGATGGGGTGAGAATACCCTTTCTAACTGTGCCATGTAATCTGGCACTAATATCCCAGGGGGTTCGGAACCGGCAGAGAAACACAAAGGGAACAGTCTCTGGGGACAGTGGGTGACGTTTCCTGTCCATACGGCCCACACTTGTCTAAACTCAGCAAACCAGACCTTCAAAGAGCCATCTGTACATTTTATCTTCACCAAGGAAAAAAAAAAAGAACTGTAAGCAAATACAGGACTCTAGCTAACGGCCCGCATGCTGACATCTCATGAAGGAGAGCAAGCTGATATTTGCAAACTTTCTTTGAGAAGGTTTTTTAAATTAAGCCAGGTCCTGGTGGCTCACTCCTGTAACCAGAGCTACACAGGAAGATCGGTGTTTAATGCCAGACAAGACTTTTTTCCCCACTGGCTGTGGGGCTTGAACTCAGGGCCTCATCACTGCCCCTGAGCCTCTTTGTGCTCAAGGCTAGTGCGCTACCACTTGAGCCATAGCACCACTTCCGGGTTTTGAGTGGTTGATTGGGATTAAAAGTCTCACAAGGACTTTTCTGCCTAGTCTAGCTTCAAACCGCAATCCTCAGATCTCAGCTGCCTAAGTAGCTAGGGTCATAGGCGAGAGCCACCAACGCCCGGCTGAAAAGTCCATGAGACATTTATCTCTCATTAGAAACCAGCAAAAAGTCAGAAGTAATGACATGGCTCAAATGGTAGGGTACCAGATTTGAATGGAAAAAGCCAAATGAGAGTTCAAGCTCCAGTACTAGCACATACACACTCGCTGCGAAAAAAAGTTGCATAGACAAGTAGGTTCCTTATAAATCAAGTATAGCAATATTAACAATTGTACATTTGGGGTAGATATATAATGATTTCCATTTGAAGTTTTTCCTCATAAGATGCTGGGGGACCACTAAGTGAATGATTTGAAGGCCAATATTATACTGCTCAAACTCAGCTCGGCCTGGATGGCCCACACACATCCACCCTCCTCTGTGCCTGGCTGGTTGGCAACTGTCACCATGCCTTTGTGTTCCCACTGCACCCTGGGACCCTAGAGTGTGGGGACCCATGATGCCCTAACTCCTCACCTCTGTCCCCCTCTCCCTCCCCCCCCCAGGATGTCTGGCAGAATGGGATGTCCTCCCCCGGGCCCCTCCATACCTCAGTAACAGAACTATCTCACCAGGGACATCCCCTGAAGCTGTATTCTGTCCTCTTGCAGGGGGTAAACTGAGGTGAGGCGGAGCCTGGCTCGCCTGGGGACTAAGCAGCCAGGGTGCTTGCTCCCAGCCCATGTATGTATAATTAGCCAGTGGGAAATAGATGGGGGAGCAGATCTCATCTGCCTAATTAGGGGCTCAGCAGCTGGGACCAGGTTGGCCTGAGGAGCCAGCGGGAGAGCAGCAAGCCCCGGAGAAGGGGCAGCAGCTGCCGGCCCTGAGGGGGGCTGCCCATTGAGGCTCACACCCACTCCACATGGAGGGGAACAATGGAGGAGCTGTGTCTGCAGATTGGAGGCTGGCAGGGGGAGGGGCTGGCGGGGAGGCTCCAGACTCTGGAAGGGGTGGGGTGGGGGCTCTCAAGGCCCGGCAGCACCTGTTGGAGAAATCAAGGCACAGTCTGGCACCATCGCCCCTTCCAATAATCCCTCCTAGGGTCCCCTTCCCCCCCACTGGTTGACTCAGCTCTGCTCTGGGGCAGGGCCTTGTATTGCAGGACAGGGGAAGTGCTCTCGGCTTCTCTGCCCTAAGTGAAGGCAGGGACGAGGTGTGCTTGCCACGGGCACGCAGCAAGTGCTGCACAGTAGAATAATCAGAAGGAATGGGTCCATGGAGAAGTGGGAAGCCCAGGCCTTCTTGCAGACCTGCTAGACAGCACCCCTGGTCTCTCTAAAGGTCCCCTTCAGATTTGGTGAGGGGTGACCCAGCACCAACACCTCTCCCAGGAACTAGAAGTTCCCCTGCCAGCTCTGGGACCTGAACACCAATTTCTCCACATTGTAAAATGCAGCCAGGTCATCCAACTTCCAGGCTGCCTGGGGTTTGCAGGTCACAGTGAGGAAAGCCCAGAGAGCTGGCCTTGGACAACACAAAGGCTTCACCACGCAGAGCTGGCCTGGCTGTCCACCCTGACCCTCACTCCTGCAGTATGGAGACCCAGGAGGCCTGGCTCCTGCCCTGTCAGAACTGCTGGACATCTTTGGACATCCGGGCCTCTTGAGCCTCAGTCTCTTTGCTGTACCCAGAGGGAGTAGAACCCATTCTCATGCAGCAACCACATTTTTCTTTATCCAATCTCCCCGTTTTTGCTCAGACTCAGGCCAGATCCCCAGGACCTGTTGTGAACAGACAACTGGGCTGACCTGGAAATCAACTCTTTCTGCCTAAAATAAAACATGAGCCCTGTCACAGGGCCCCCTATCGCTTCCTGTTTCTGAAAGTTGCAGCTGAAGGAGGCAGCCTGGGTGAGGAAGCACCACCGGCCTCCCCACTCCCATGGGGGGAGGGAGGGGAGCCTGCAAGGCCAGCCTGGATGGTCACCCCCGAGTACTAGGTCTGAGTGTCCTGGCAGCCAAGCGCAGTGTCTCCTGGCTACAAGGTACTAACTAACCTGGGAGACAACTAGAAGGGGATAAGCCCTCCAAGCTCAGTAACGGCGCCCTACCCTTATGCCCCTTCCCCCCAGAACATCACCAAGGATCCAGGACCCAAGCTTGTGACACCTGGCTCTCCATGGAGGCCAGGAGGGAGACTGGCTTGTCCACAGCCACCCATCCTACGCTGCTCACCTACAGCCCCACTTCCTTTACAACTCCTGCCTCCAGCTCTCACTATAGCCTGGGTGCCTTCTCTGAGCTTCCTGACCACCAAGGCTGGGGAGGGCCTGGGCATCCCTGCCAGCCTCTCTATGCCCCTTTCCCAGCTCTGTCCCCTTCTGCCATGCAGCTGACCCATCTCCTCTGCGATGAGGGAGGGATAGCTGGCCATTCAACCCCTTGCCCATACCTTAGGGTGAACAAGTACCAAGTTTTAAAGACTCTACCCCACGACTTTTAGAGACTTATCCTTTGTGAACACAGAAGAGTCTGAAGGCTCAGCCCTTGAGAAAACAAACAATTGTGTTTATTAACAAGGAAGAGAAATCAGAGCAGCACAGTCTCCTAACCAGTCCCTCCTGTAGTCTACCCACCTAGCCCATCTGCCAAAGACTGTAGACAAATGCTCTCCTCCCTACCCCCATCCAGGATGAGCTCCCAGGAAGTCAGGGCCCGCTGGATAAAGAAGTCAGCAGAGGCCAAGGAAGGAAGGAGGAAATGGAGCTCCTTGGCCAGACAGGCTTGGCAAGTTGTTTGGCCCCTTACTCTCAATGGGGAGGGCTCAACACCCCAAATCCGGCCCCAGTAGAGGAACCAAGCAGGTGTATACTCCCTTCAGAAACCTCGCTCGTGGGGAGGGGAGGCCAAGGCCAAGGCCACTGGGGGCAGGGTGGGACCTTGTCAGAGGTCGCCGGCCAGGGTCTGAGGTTGCGCCTCCACGCGGGGTTCAGGTTCACACCAGGGAGCTGCCTCCGGTCTGCCCAGAGACAGGAAGTGGATGCAGAAGTCCAGGGCCCAAATGCCCGCCACGCTCTGTCCTGCGCGGATCGCGGCCCCCGTGGGGGCCTACCCCTCCGCGGCCGGGGTCTCGCGGGCCTGCCGGAGGCCATACAGCCACTTGATCACGCGGGCATTCCTCTCGATCACCGACACGCCGTAGGGGACGCGATCCCGGGCGCGCTCCTCCACCGTGGCCGAGCTGCGGCGGGAGCATCCCCCCTCGGAGCTGCCGGGCCCGGCACTGGGCCCCGCCAGGGACACGATGTCCGAGCTGGCCCGCGCCAGGTGCGCCACCCCCAGGCCCCGGGCCTCCTCGGGGTCCAGGCCGCAGTAGTTAAAAAAGCGCTCGAGGTCGGCAGCCGCCCTGGAGAAGCGCTCGCTCAGGTCCGACTTGGAGCGCTGCAGTCCCGGCGGCCGGCCGGGGCTGGAGGCGGCGGTGGTCCCGGGCGACGGGCAGGGCTGGGCAGGTGAGGCGGCGGGCAGGGGGCGCACGTCCACGCGGCGCACGGCAGCTGTGCTGGGCGGGGGGCGCGGAGGGGTGGCTGGGGGCGCGGGGGCGGCTCCCTCCGCCCGCCCGGGGGTCCGGCTGCCCTCCCCGGCGCACACGGGGCTGTCACACAGGTCGATGAGGTTGCTGAGGATGTCCAGGTCCAGCTGCGGCCGGCGGCAGGGGCCAGGCAGCGCTCGGCGGCTCGGCGTGAGCACTGTGCGGCGAGTCCCGGGACTAAAGAGCGGCTGCTTGGACAGCAGGGGCTGCACTGGCTCCTGGCGGGTGTTGGCCACGTGCAGGCTCTTGACGTACTTGGCCTTGTCGGCCTCCAGGCGCTCCACCGCGCTGGGTTTCCGGGCTCCGCCGTCCACCGGCCTCCGTAGCAGGTAGCCGGGAACCTTGGGCCGCAAGCGGAAAGGAAGGGCGGGCGCGGCTGGGGCTCCGGGGCTGAGCGTGTCCACAGGCATGGCTGTCACATACCCCGAGGGCTTCGCTCCGGCAGAAAGCAGGCAACCTCTGCGGGGAAGGGAAGGAACCAGGCTGAGCGCAGACAGACAAAGGCTCAAGCAGAGCCGGTGAGGGGCTGAGAAACCGGCCCTATATAAGGGAGAGGCCACGCCCCCGCACCACAGGGAACCAATCAACAGGTAGACGGCCGCTGCTGCCGGGATGTGGCCACACCCACTCCCCTTTCCCCCGCCCATCTAGGGATGGGGATCAACCAGGCCCAGCACAGGCAGAAAAAGTAAAAAGACGCTGGAGAAGAAAGACCAGGCAGCGCTGATTTTAAGGGGAACAGAGCAGGGCCCAGACCCCGTGCTGAGGACGGCCAGCTCCACCTCGGAGTCTCCCCAGAAGCCATTTTGCAGATGGGAAAACTGAGGAAACCAGAGCTGGAGGAAATCACCCAACAAGCTGCAAAGGAAATGGGGGTGCAGGTGGTCAAGTGACCCAGGAGGAGGGGACTCCAGCCCTAGACTGCCCACAGAAGCCTGGCACCACCTCCTCTCCTCACCCACCCGGGCAGGAAGCCGCTAGGTGCCATCCACCTGCCTGGACATGCCAGGCCCTGGGCACAGAAGAAGAGCATGTACAAGCAGAAAATGCCCACCTCTGCTCCACCGGAGGCCAGACACCCGTAGCTTCCAACATGGGATGCCAAGGTGAGGCCCACAGTGACCCATCTGAGCCCTGCTGCTCCAAGGAAGGTTGGAAGGGGCCAGGCCCACAGGGATGGCTCTCAGGCCCGAGCTCTGCCTGCACATGCAAGTCTACAGGGATGCCCAAGCAGCACAGCTCAGGCATCCACGCAACCCTGTGCATGTTTCCAAGGAAGGCCCAAGGCCAGAAGACCCCAGCCCCTTAGCTCCCCGGGAAACAAAGGCCCCAAACCTCATATGGGCAACAGAGAAAGAGGAGTGCTTAAAGCACCCCGAGAGGACTTACTGTTCAGGCCTCCTGGACCTGTACTGCCTGGACTAAATAGCCACTACTCACCTGACTCCTCAGCCTTCCTAAGACTCAAAGAGACAGCACCTCACACCTCTAATCCTCAGTGCTCAGAGGCAGGGATGTGAGGATTGTAGTTAAAAGCCAACCTGGGCAGGAAACTCCATGAGACTCTTACCTCTAATTAATCATCAAAAAGCCAGAGTGGAGGTATGGCTCAAGTAGTCGAGCACCAGACTTGAGTTTAAAAAAAAAAAAGCTAAGGGACAGTGTCACACATACAGCCAGGTCCTGAATCACACCAGCTCCCACCTCCATGATGACAGGAGGGCCAGTCTGTTTTGGCTCTTAGTACCTGCTAGGTATTCCAATATTCACTGAGTTGAAATGCCTAGGGAGCCACCCCTGAACCAGCAGAGCTATGGAGCAGAGGAGCAGCCTGTGGGCCAAGGCCAAGGCTATGGGAGTAGTGTACCAGGAGGCTGGAGACCCAAAAATGAAAGGCTTCTTAGCTATGCACATAATCAGTAATAATTTGTACAATACTGCATTTACCAGGCAAATAAAACATGTCTGCAAAGGTACCTGTCCTCCTCCATGTTTCCTCCTTCCCCAGCTTGGAGGTGAGCAGCTATGGTGAACTGACCTGGGCCTTGGGGGCTGTTGGTTCACAGCTACTGCTGCTCCCAGGGTAGGGGGGATGGGTAGATAGGGGAGGCAGGCTCACCCAACTCAGGTAGACCCCCCAGGAGACCTCAGGCAGGGAGTTCCTGCGAAGTAGCCAGACTGCACCCCACCCCCTCCCCCCCACCCCCTCCACCTCCCCACCACCCAAACCAGTCCAACCCGTTGGTAGTAGCAGAGGCAGAGGCGGGTCCCTCCCCAGGCACCACAGGGAAAGAGGAAGAAGGTCAGAGAAGCAGGGCCAGGGCAAAAGCCCCTTGAGCACCCTGCTCCAGTAGTCATTCCTTCCTGCCAGTGCCCCCTGGCCCCAGAGTCCCCTTGGGCAGGGAGGCACAGGGACAGAAGCGGCCTGGCTCAGGGTCTCGGGTGTGCCCACCCACCCGCCTGCTGTGCACCTTGCACAAGCAGCTGCCACCTCTTTAACAGACTTGGTTTCCTTATCTGTGAAATAAAGTTAAAAATAGCCCTCCCTGTGCACGGTCGGTGGGGTCACCAGAAGCCTGGAGAGATCAAACAGGTCACCACACCTGAGGAGCCAGTGGGAGGGCAGCGCTCCACCAGCCTGGCTGGCTGGCTGATTTCCGAATCGTGCCTGTGACAACCCAGGTACGCAGATGCCATCCCAGGGTCCCTAGGCCCCTGTGACAGGGGCTGAACAGCAAAGTGACCTGCAGGAGCTCCACGCACAGGGGGCAGCTGCAGGCTAGTGGCTCCTGTGAAGGGTGGCCAGGCTGGTCTGTTCTCACTGGCCGGCACCCCACCCGTGGATTTTCCAACACTGCCACCAACACTCTGAATGCCAACACCTTCTGCTGCGCCTCACCCCTCCCCACCACTGGCACCCGCTTTAGCCTTAGGGGACCATGGAGGGGGACTCAAAACCTCAGCTTGGCTTCTACCATCTCTCACTCTGAGGCAAGTTGGGGAGTCCTAGGGATGGCAAGGGTACCAGGAGGGCTGTGTGACCGCCAGAGCCCCTGCCCGGCTCTGAGCCAGGGTTGACCTATGTTTCTAATGGTCCGTGTGGCCCAGTCATGGCCAAAGGCTAGAACTGACCAATTCCCTGCCATCCAGGAGGACATGGCACCCTGGCTGTCCCCTCATGTCTGGGCCAAGCGCCCCCCCCAGTCCTGGCCCCCACCAACTCCCCCCAGCACGTACCTACCTTGCTCCCCTTGCTCCCTGCTGCTGCGCTCCTCCAGCCCAGCCAACCTGGCTCAGGTAACCAAGTTTGCGCAACTTCCGGCAGCCTCAGGCAGGTGAACCCGCTGGCCTAAATGTCACTCCATAGGAGGGAAGGAAAGCCAGGAGGAAGCTGGAACTGGACCCTGGGTGCTAACCAGTGGACTGTAAAGGGGGTCCAATCAGCCCCAGGCCACCCCAGGAAGCTCTTCCGAGAGCCAGGCCAGCCCACTGCATGCGTGGCAGAGTCCCAGCACACACTCGGGACTGTGTCTATGTGAGGGACCTCCCAGTTAAGGGGAAATGAAGTCACTCCCCAAACTCCCCTGAGTCAGTGCCAGTGGTCTGCGCCCTGACGAATGGAAAGCCCAGGCTGGGGAAGGCTGAGTCACTTGCTCAAACTCACCAGGGAGACTGCAACCTGGGAACTTTCCCTCCAGACCACGCCCCCATGTCACCTCGCAAACCCTGGAGCAGGTGGCTGGCTTCTGCTGTGAATGAGGAGTGCCACCTTTGGGCCTGGACATGCCCTGCCTGCAACAGCTTTGTGCAAACCTGAGACAGGGCGGTGAGGTTCCCTGGAGCTCTGAGGGCCAAGCACAGCACACTGAAACCTCATGGTGCCTTGCGGCCAGCCTGCAGAAGGACCTGTACTCGCTCCCCACCCTCCACCAGCTGCTAGCCTCGGCCTCTCAGGTGGGCGCCACGGACTAAGCCATCTTCCACTAGGATGCTGAGGCCAGGAAAGAGATCATCACCCATACTTTAGTAAAATGGGAGGATTCGTCTCTTCTATCTGCACCAGGCTCTGCTGCACTCTCTCACAGACATATTAACAACTTACACCCTCATACCTGCTCTGTGCATTACCCCATTTTACACTTCAAATGCTCTGTGCATTACCCCATTTTATGGATTAAAAAAACAACTGAGGGACAGAAGTCAGGTTGCCAACCTGAGGTCACACAGCCTGCAAATGGCAAAGCCAGGATTTGAACCCTGGCTTGGGTCCTGGGAGGGTTTCTAGTGTTAAGGCTTTGGCCATTGACCAGACAAGTCCCTCAGGAAACATCTAAAGTACCTACAGATCCTGCTTGGGCCCCAGAAAGAAGACATCTCTGGAAGCACACCTTGGCTGTGATGCTGAGCCTCTGTTTTCTCAGCTATAAAATGAGAAAGCAATGAAGTGTTGTCCAAAAGACCTGATCTCATAACCACTCCGCTTAACTCTAAGGATAAAATCCAGTCTTAGCAGAGCACCAGTGGCTCAGGCCTATAATCTAACTACTCAGGAGACTGAGATCTGAAGGTCTCAGCTCAAAGCCAGCCCAAGCAGGAAAGTCTGTGAGGCTCCCATCTCCAATTAAATACCAAAGGAAGTTGGAAGTAGAACTGTGGCTGAAGTGGTAGAGTGCCAGTCTTGGGCCCAAAACTCAGGGACCTGAGTTCAAGCCCTAGTACCAACATTAAAAAAAAAAAAAAAGCAGACAAACAAAAATCTACCTGGCCAGTAGGCCCTCTACCCTCGGGGGCCAGGTCCCTGCCCAAGCCTCCCTTCTCTGCATACAAAGCCTCTCCCCTGCTCCAGCCACCAAGCCCTGTCTGCAGATATTCTGATGTGCAGAGGTCTGTCTTGCCCCAGGGTCTTTGCAGCAATTGCTCTTTGCCGGTTTTTAGAATCACTTCAAATGCCAGCTCCTCCAAGGCCTCCTGGCCACCCCGAGAGAGTCCCACCAACCCCATCCCTTATCCTTCTGAGTTCTCTCTTCTCCTTCACATCTGTCCTAGAACTTCCTCTGCCCTCCATGTTTTCTTCTTCCAAGACAAACATGACAGGAAACATCACTGACCTGTGGCTAGAACAAGACACAGACCAGCCATGGAGATGCATGCATTTAATAGTGGGGTTTTTGTTTCATTTTGTCTTGTTTTCTGTGTTGATTCTGGGGCTTGAACTTAGGGCCTCATGTGCTTATCAGCTTTTTCTACTCAGTTATGGCTCTACCTCCAGCTCTAGCTTTTTGCTGGTTAACAGGAACCAAAGTCTCATAGCTTTGTCTGCCAAGGCTGACTTCAAACTTCAATCCCCAGTTCTCAGTTTCTCAGTAGCTAGGATTACAGGCATGAGCCACTGTGCCCAGCTGATTACTGTTCCATTAATCCTACCTCAATTTAAAAGGGAGAAAAAGAGGGAGGGAAGGAGGGGACTCTTTATTCTGTAACAACAGTCTGTCCTAATCTTGGTGATCAGCTGACTCCCTGGCTAGGGCTCTAACTGCCAGATTTCCCCTGTGTATAGTTACTATTTTCCCTTTGTAATTAATCGTTATCTTGGGAGGGGGGGAAATAAAGGCCTGAGTCCCAGGGTACCAGTTCCCCCAGCTCCCTCTCCCACCTAGCTGTTGGCACCTGGGCCCAACTGACTCCTCCTCTGGCCCCAAGTCCCCCACCCCTCAACCTGGGCTCTGCTGCTTCTAGCCCAGCCCAGTTCTTCCTTCAAAAACACCGTATCCATCTCTGCGGGTGCAGCTCACCTGCCCTCAGTGCCTTTGCTCCACCCCTGCTTCCTCTGTAGGTGCAGCTGGATTCCAGAGTCAGCGTTCTGCACAGCAAACATCTCGAGGCCTCAGTTTCCCCAACTCCAAAACAACAAATCCCTCCCAGCATGAGGCCTGTGCAAGATAATTCCCACCAAAGTGTGACCGATGGAAACTGCTCTGCCAAGCAGGCTCTCCAGGGCCAGCTCCCAGGAGAGGCCATCACCAGAAGGCTGGCCACAGTCCCCATGGGCTCCAAATCTAAGACAAGACAGTAAAGAGAGCAAAGTCACTGGAACAGACATTTCCCCATGATTTACAAAGGGGAGCCAAGCACGGTGGTGCATGTCTGTAATCCCAGCACTCTGGGGGGTATGGTAGGAAGTGAGACATGGCCACATCCTCAGAAAGAAGATATACAAAAGGTGAAATCAAAGCTGAATACCATGGCTCATACCTGTAAACTTAGCTACTCAGAAGGCTGAGATCTGAGGATTGAGGTTCAAAGTCAGCAGGGGCAGGAAAGTCTATAACATTCTTATCTCCAATGAGGCAAAAAAACAAAAAAAAGTGGAAGTAGAGTTATGGCTTAAGTGGTAGAGTGCTAGCCTTGAGCACAAAAACAGCACCCAGGCCCTGAACTCAAGCTCCAGGCATGGTACACACACACACACACACACACACACACACACACACACATCTTAAGAGATGGAACTCCAGGCATGGTACACACACACACACACACACACACACACACACCTTAAGAGATGGAACTCCAGGCATGGTACACACACACACACACACACACACACACACCTTAAGAGATGGAACTCCAGGCATGGTACACACACACACACACACACACACACACACACACACCTTAAGAGATGGAACTCCAGGCATGGTACACACACACACACACACACACACACACACACACACACACACACACACACACACACACACACACACACACACACACACCTTAAGAGATGGAACTCCAGCCTAGCAAGCAACACTGAGCTTTTGAGCCAAAGGCCCAGAATTCAAACTTCACAACTATGACTGGAGGGTTTTGAGAATCAATATTATTTGGCACATATATACATGCTCATGCTGAAGAAGAAGCAAGGCTGCCTTAGTTTATATCACATTTCTGCATGACCTCGTGCAAAGTCTTAGGTCCCTTTTATTTTTTTTTTTTGGTCAGTCATAGGGCTTGAACTCTAGGCCTGGGCACTGACCCTCAGATCTTCAGCTTAAGGCTAGCGCTCTACCACTTGAGCCACAACACCACTTCCAGGTTTTTCTGCTTACGTGGTGCTGAGGAATCGAACCCAGGGCCTCATGCATGCAAGGCAAGCGCTCTACCACTGAGCCACCTTCCCAGCCCCTTAGGTCCCTCTTGTACTGTTTCCCCTCTGGAAGATGGAAAGGATGTGAAGGTAACTACCTTGCAGAATGGAGGGAATTCACACACACTTATAAAGCACTTAGCCCTAAGTGCTCAAGGTGTGGAGTGATTTTTGCCCTGGTTCAGGGGTCAGAGGTGCAGTTTCTGGTGTTCATCACATCCTCCACCCACCAACCCCACCCCCTTCCTTCCACCTGCTTCTCTCAGTCCCGTCCTGGAAGCCAAGTCCAGACTTGGAGAGACAGAGAGGCCCGGGCCTGTCCCAGAGGAGGATCAGAAAGGCTCCAGCCAGCAGGGCAACCCCAGCTCCATTTCAGCCAGCTGTCCAGGTCAGACACCCCGCTGGACAGCCTCCACGGCTGTGCCAGCCCAAGCTATTTCTGGAGTCTTCTCAACACTCATGTCTTGGCCTGTCCAAGAGTCAACCTGGCACAATCCTCAGGAAGGAGGTATGAGAAGGCTGTGGGAGGGGAGTGGGAGTGGATGCCTAGGGTACCAAGCTCCTGCCTGTGCGGCACACCGTATGCCCACCTCCACTAACTCGGTCTTCTAGCCTTGATTTATACCAGAGGTTGCAAAATGGGGACAAAGGGCCTTGCTGTGGAGACTGAATGCCAAGGGGGAGAGAGAGAGAAAGGCAAGGCCTTAGGCACACAGGAAGGGGAAAGGTGGGGCTTGAGAAGAACCCACAGCCATGCCCACTTCCTGACCTCCACTACCCTCTGCCTAGGCCTGAGCTTACCAGTCCCGCCTAAAAATGTGAAGAAACACGTCCAATGTCACACCACGTCAGCAACAGATCTCACAGACAGGACAGTGACCTCATGGTTGTATGCATATTTAATCATTATGTATATTTAATCATTTTAAGTATATCTATTTAATGGGATTTTCAGTGAGGTAAACACATAGCTCAAAATTTTACAACTTTGGTCCAGGGCTAGAGGCTCACACCTTGTAATCCTAGCTAATCAAGGAATTTGAAATCTCAGGATCTCAGTCCAAAGCCAGCACAGGCCAAAAAGTCAGTGAGACTCTCATCTCCAAATAACTAACAAAATAAGCAAGAAGTGGAGGTATATAGCTCAAGTCTTCAGTGAAAAAGCCAAGGGAGATCCCAAGGGCCTGAGTTCAAGTCCCAGTACTGCCCTCCTCCCCCAAAAAGCCCACACTGCACTCCTGGTAAGTCCCTCACTTGCCTCATCCCCACATTTGCCAGGCATCACCTTCCAGCAGGGGAAGATCAGAAACTGGCTAATAAGTAAGCCATGGAGGGCATGGATGGGACCAATGCCACAGAGAAAAACAAAACATGGTCAGTGAAGGCCAGGGTGAGGGAGGTGCTCAGTTGAAGG